GTCCATGATGTTAATGACACGTCATTCTACAGTTTCGTAGGAACCTGAAAGGAGCACTTCTAGACAATCCAGCTGACATACAGCCTCGAAAACATTGGCTTCAATGTTTTGTACTGTATGATGAGTTAATATTGATGCACCTAAATAAATGGAGGTCCCATAGGAATTCCAGGTACTAAGGTTGTACAAGGCAGCTAATTCAGGTAACTTACAGTTGATTCATTTTGAGGATGAAGTTGAGACCGAAGTCAGTAGTATAAACAGATAGTTTGAGAGAGCACAGTAGACAAAAATATTCGGTAACTCTGACGTGAAACCACTGTCGTACCATCTCGAAAACTGGTGTATGCACTTTATGACAATCACCTGAGTATCAATCCTCAACCAGTAACATCTAAAATACTGGCTGCAATCATTATTTTTAGACTCCTCAAAACGTTTGAAAAACCGATCCCTTGTGAGCAGGCCGGGGTTTTGTCAAATCGTGGATGCACTGAGCACATATTCACAATGCATCGCTTCCGACATATATTTGTTACGCCTGTGGAATCTGGTTCCTGTAAGCTTAAGATATTATGTCTGTCTGTGTTTTCAGCTGCTGTTGTTCTAGTAAAACTGTTAGCATTTCAATGTAACACCACTTAGTTGGTTTTTAGGCGAGGTGAGGTGAGTTCGGGTATGATAGTCATTGATGAGGTAAAGTCATCTGGAAACACTGTGCTTGGTGTCTTGGTCATTAGTTACGAGTGTTCTGCCAGCGGCTCTCATAGTTTCACTTTCGATGGCACTGCAACTGATTTCAAGAAAAAGAGAGGAGATCAGTGTTTGGCACAGAACCTAAGAATGAAGGATGGATATGTCAGACTAGCATCTGTGAGCGCCTTATGACTCCATGGGTGGGAGTCTCAAAGCCGATGCAGATCAGAGGCTGAAGATGAGAGCAAATTTGGCTCAGTAGCAAGATCAGTGACCAGTATGCTGTAGTTTTATTATCTCCTCTACAATTAAAAGTTTCCAAGACTACCTCTTTGATGACTAATCTCTTTCTCCTTCTCTATGTTTCCTTTGCCTTTATGTACAGCTTTTGGTTTTCTTAATGCTAATAATTTATCTTAAAATGGTGTATATCTAGGTGTGTATGAAGTATTAGTTTTGAGTCTCAGAGTTTATAAAGGGAAGTGATTGTTTGATACATTTCTTTACTCTATGATAAACTACCTTTCAAGCCAAAATAGTGCAACCTAACTGATTATTTCATCAGTTACCAAGTAAGCCTTTAAGGTAACTAGTTTTATTTACCAATATAAGATTTCGATGACAACTAACTTTGTTTGCGTGTATTTGACATTGGCTGATATACTCAGAAACAACGTTTCAGTCTCAAGTCTTTTGTCTTCAGCTTTCCTCGTCATTGTTGTATGTGTTGTTGGTGTTGACGGACTAGGATACGTCGAAGAAAAAAACATACGTTGTCTAAGTTCATATCCGTTTGTTTACCTTCTCTTAAGTGTGAACTTATTACGAGTATTCGGTATTGGGCATGGGAACTTGAGAAAATATTTCTCTGTGTATGTAAAAATAATTGTGAATACTTTAAGTTCACCGATAAACCAGATAAACTCCAAACTTTGACCATAGCCCAGAAATTCGATAGCCTGCTGTATATTCAAATTCAGCCAACAAATATCGTATTTTTTTTTCTCATGTTCACTTTCTCCCTCTGCTTCACCTTGATTAAGGTGCACTTATTATCAAGGTAATCTTCATCCAACTGATGTGAATACTGAATGACATCCTCAAATAGTTTTATAAACACATGCACTGTCTTATACTTAAGTGCCAATATTTTTGGGGGGATCTAATTTACCAGCAATGCATTTCTTCATTCAGTAAGAACAATAACTTTTGGTTTCATAGTAATTATTGAGTTTCAACGGTTAACCGGCGAATTATAATGTAAGTATCCAACCAGTCGTTCTACTCCCTATTTTTAGTACACTTAAAGCTATTTTCAAACTCAGTTCTCGTTACATTCCATTCATAAAGTCCACCTTAATAATTTGAGTAGAACAAGAATAACATAATTTCGTGAGCATAACCATTTTACTGCCTTTCTGCAATAAACTGTTAAAAGAAAATTAGAAGAATTGGTGTGTTAACATTTGAAATGCAGGAAGGTGGATTGAATTAACAATATATTCTCTGTCTCTCTCCATACATATTTAGAAGAAATCTGTTTAAGTAATATTGATGGATTTGTCACCATATTTAAAATGGTAAACGTAAAAAATATGAAAATGAAGACATTACTGATGCATAAAACGTTAAAAAGATATTATGGATTTATTTTGGTAATATATTTCTGTCGAGGCTACCCAGAATAAACAGTTTCCTAATCTCTAAGTATTTCACACATAGTGTTTGATGACAACACCTAATTACAGAAATATAAATATTTGCTGAAGAGAAAATCTAGAAATCTGTAAATACTCTCTGAGAAATAGCAACTTTAAAAGTGAATTAGAAAAAGTGGATGTGAAGTCCACACTGCGGCTGCACTACTTACATTTGAAAAAAGCTTGCATTCAAACATAACTCTTGTAGGTAATGAATAAACTAACTGAGTGCTGAAATTAACTTGTGATATGATGTTTTCAAATGCGAAAGTTTGATCTTTGGGAAGGAAAGCATATTGATGAAACTGATAATTATTCTTTTGTGAGTCACTTCATTCACAAAAATCATACTTCAAGAAGAGAGAAGCATCTTGTTGTATATGGCCATAGGGTTTCGCAAGTTCACGATCCCAACTATATATACATTTAACGACTCAGAACTTGGGTGTAGCTGGTTAATCGAAGAGGAACTTAATTCAGCAATAAACAAACTAAATTTCATATGATGAGTCATATAGCCAGCGGATATCTTTACGAAAGATGATAACTATAAGAAAACCAAGATGTTATAGAAGTAAAATTTGGAAAAGTAATAGCGAATTTCGGTGACCATTATCCAACACAAGTGAACAAAATTAATTTCAATTAATATATTTCTGAGAGCTATTATACGCAACAGAGACTACATGGGGTAGCTTCTATCTTAAGCTAAAATATATGAACGGATATGAACTTAGCTTTACTCAGATGCTATATGCCTTATGCTTAGAAAAATCTTGAGGCTTAGAAACCAAGAATATTTACAATACAGCCATAAAGTCAGAAGTGAAAGATAAATTCGATAAGTTCCTGCCGATTAATTCAGTCAGCATCTAGTACAAATAAACAAAATCAATCTCAATTGAAAAACGATATTGATACATAAAATAAATGCTAAAATTATAAGTATTCAAGGCATGGTTGTTACGAATGTCCTGAAAGAAACATTTGAAAAAAGTTATATGGGCTAGAAAGCAATATGAAAAGCGACGTCGAAATCCTACAAAGGAGTACAGTCTTACTATGTAGACTTCATAGATTAGATTTCAAACTAACTAAACAATAAATGTTCGAATTAAAGGTCATCAATTTCCCACAGTAATCTGAAAACCTTAAAACCTTGTGAATATATAGAACAAAACCGCATAACATTAGGAGATAGCACATGCAGTGTAGCTGTAGTGGTTTCGTAGTCCTTTGCTTAAAATGTATTTTCATAAATCTTCTCCATAAAGATAAATTGTTAGTGTGTAGTTGCATATTTATCCACCAAACTCATCATCATGATGGTGATAAAAATAATAATTATCATTATTTCATTCAGTATTCATAAGAAACATTTTATGGCACTCTTTTGACTTCCTCAGCAATTAGCTGCTTTTAGCATTTATTTTAAATTTTGTGGAAACTGTCAAGAATGTGAAATGGAGTTTATAATAAATGTAATACTTTATGATTGACTACTAACCCTGCTTCACGGTATACAGACCCTTTACATTGTCATCCAGAATGTTGACTAGAATTTGCTGAACAAACCTTGGATTCATCATATTCTCGGAACAGTGAGATCGGTCTACATTTCATTTTTATTCAGGTTAAAGGTAAACAGATATTTGTTTTGTTGTGTTATATCGAGTAAATTATATCGCTCTTTTTGTTATCAATTTCACCTGACGTTATTTCATTGAAGCCTAACAAATGAATATCTACTTTTTGTTTAAGGATTCTTGGTATGTCGAGTTCAAAGAAAAACTGAACTTGACTGATCAAGTACGACGGTAAAATACTTCACCTTGTCCCAGGTTGAATGGTTACAGTATATTGGTCAGAATTCTTGATAAGACTACCTGGTAGAGTCACGGTTTGGAAGGCTGGCATTAGTGGTAGTTGTTAGTGACTGAAAATGAAATGAAAACCTAGGTCGTGGCAGGATTCGAACAAGCGACCTCCAGACTGCCGGCTTCACGCTTTACCATGTGAGCCATATGCCTGACCTGCTGACCAAGTCTTGCTTTCACTTCAATCACCAAGGGTCTTGCCTGACTATCGTGTGTTTACACTATTCATAAATGTCCGTTATTTATCATCCTGGAAATAGATTTCACGCTTACTGACATTCTTCAGTCAAGTATACCTGGAGTCGAGGAGAAACTCATATCTCTCTGGGTATCCTAACTTCCATTAATTTGTGTGGAAATAACAGACTTAAATGCATATTTATTCAGCGCAAACATATCATACATTTTGATAATAATAAAGGAAGTATCACTAGATAGGTGACAGTAGTGGAATAAATGACAACAGAAATTCACTCATAGCATTAATTAGAATTGCTTTCGGTCCACAAAGGATCGAATCAGGAGAAGTATGGTGTTTACAAATGAAAAAGTAATAAGCGTATTTCACTATTACAGCTAACTAAATAAAAAGAAAAAAGAACAAGAAAAATTCGAGTAGAGCGAATTTACGCCATTGACTTGTTTTTAAAGTTTGCACACTTGGTTCATTCAATGTTTCAATATTTGTTTGATGAAAACAATAGGAATATCTATAATTTCGGAATACTTGCCATAGTTGCTACACCACACATGTTGTTATAATTACGGCGTATTCTTACATAACCATCTTCCCCCCAAGTTGTACCCCAACTATTTTTAATAATCCAATAATCGATGCCATCTTCATGTCCGTATCCAACAATCAGAACTGCATGGTTTACATCCTTTGCTGAGCAAGATGAAGACTGATATATACCATTTCTAAAAAAGAAATAAAATGAAGCATCAGAACTCGTTAAATGTAATATGATTTAACAGTACATTCAAGTTATGCTGTACTAGAGTATAAATTTAGTGGATAAATAAACTTTGAATGTAAATGTTATAGAGGGCATGAAAAGAATATAGACAAGAAAGATGAAATTTTGGATAGATAAATACGAGTCAGTTAACATATCTTCTCTAATCAAGGCTGAGTGGAATGTAAATGGCTAGGGTTATCTGTTCCAATTACCATAGCCTCAACTGTGTGCAATAAACAAGTAAGAAGTCTATTAGGAAGATTCAGTAGAATAAGATTAATTCCCAAGGATTCTTTTTTTACTCACTTTTTAACCACTATCAGCTAAATGAGACAAAAGTAAAGTTAGGTAAGATCGGTAAAGCAGTGTGAAAGTTAGTTATCAGATAAAAATTTGTTAAAACCAATACGGTAATGAGCTATTTGATGAACTGATATGGTAGACTAAAGTGAATTAAGTCTGTTTAATATGGAAATTACAATACTAAATTTAGTGATTCTATGAAGAGAAGTTATGAGATAACAGCCAAAATGGAAACAGAAAGTCACTGAGTTTTCGGTGCCCATAGGAGCCACCTCAACTAGGAGTAAAAACTCTATTAGTAACGAATAAAGCAACATGCGATATGGAATAATATAACTAGTTTGGAAAATATAAGAAACTGATAGTATTCCCAGAACTTATTTACCCCGGAATGTTATCATTTGGATAAAAACTGAAAAGCTTGGATTTCTCGACGTATGTTTCAGCCGAGTATTAGATTCCTCATCAGTGTAAACATACAACACAGTGAGAGAGCAGGCCTCAGATCTTCAGGTCTCGTAATGACAAAATAGTTGTCCACAGTTCTCTGGTTTTTGAATAGTTCTGCATCTGATATGAGTGCGTGATGAATTTAGTTTACCCAGTCTTTTCAGTTTATTAAGATAAATCACGCTTTTTCTGTGATATACCATGTCCCTTGCGATCTCCCTAAAGGTGCAAAACTTCTCATCTTATCCCTAGCCGAAGCCATAGGGATCAACGCAAGAAAACTGGACCTTTGTGTTCAAATAAAATATGTACATCCACTTTGTTTACCTTAGCCCACAACAGGGTCGACAAGTTCTTTGTGAACTTTCTTACCCCAAATTGCACATTTCAGCCTCCATTCCCTTTCTTCTATATTGTCGTTACATTGATAAGCATTCATTTTCCTAGTTTACTAGTTTTATGCCCTTCTTTCAACTGTGACGCAACACTCTACATCTGTTATTCCCTATTTCGTTAAAGTATTCACACGATTTTCACCTTATCTGAATATAACTCATCATCTATCACCTTTAGTAAACAAACAAACATACAGACACACATTCATGCCCCAATAAATGTATATAGATGAATCATTAACTGTAGATTTTGTCGCTTCATTTCTTAATTGTTTTGTCAATATTGATTTCATTGCACAACTAACACACTAGACTACTAACAATTCCACCATTCCGTTCGACTTGATCTCCATTCCCCCATAACACTGACTGTTTCGAAATTGTACATCACGCCTTATTTTGGCTATTGTATTTCCTTTATCCTCATGGATCTATAACTGTAGAGCCTGAAGAAGTTATTGAAAACGACTGTTCGCTCAAATCATTCTTGTTCTAAAATTATTCATTCTGAACTTTTGGATCTAAAGGTTTGTCAAGCTGGATATTTCAGCAAAAAAGGAATTCGTTTCTGCCTGGACTGCACCTCAACAATGAAAATTAATGAAAAATAACAACTTTACGTCTTTCTGATTTCAACTATAGGATCGTCATCTCTCCTTTACATATTAATGATTATGTCTAACATAACTACTTGAAGTTCGTTTACTTGAATTTAAGTTATTGTTCCTGAGGTCTAGTAAACAGGACCCAAAGTGCTGTCTCAATTGTTCCCGTGGCTTACCAGTTGTTCCCCTGAAGACTAAGTCCACTTATTCTCAACTCTGTTGTTTTTTATCTTAGATAAATCTTCATAACTAGTATGTATTACATACCATTTATATTTGAATTCTTTTACAGATATTTGGCATTAGCACTGCGTTGTGAGCCAGTCTCCCATCTACCTGCTTATTTATTTCACCGTTTCTAAATTTGTTTACAGGAGTACATCGAAACAATCGTATATCCTAGAAGTCAATGGCTTTGACACTAGCCTAATACTGCTGACATAGCTTGTGTTATAGCAAGCTGTGTATAATGTCACCTTAAATGACTACATGCTCAGATTCAAATATATATGTAAAACTTACTTATATCTCATAAATTGTCGTTCCACATTTATTCCAGCTGAAACTGGACCATGTTCGTATAGACGTGATTTAAGTTCTTCTTCATCATTAGGTTTAATATCAATAATTAACTTGGACTGGGTGACTGCTTTCGATTTTGTGTGCAAACATTTACCTTCCTAAAATAGAAACAAATCATGCATATGATATACTCGATTTGACAGTAGAAAAAACCTCGGCACAGATTATCTACATGTTAGGTAGTTTAACTAAATACATTTAAGTACATGTTCTTTTCGACTGTCACTCAAATTTGTCTGGCAGTATGCAGGTACTACTGACTTGTATGCTTCCCTGAGATAGCGTCTGATTGGTGCTCTTACCTCTTTTTCATTCTATACAGCATGCACATACATTGAGGTTAGGGAAACTTTCAGGAATTTTAAGTTTAAGACTTCAGTATTATGTTCACAGTTAAAAAAAGATGTGGCTGCCAAATATCGAATAAAGTAAGTATATTGAAATGTTTCGTCATAACCTGTTGGCCACATCAGTTACTCTACACAGTGCAACCAACCTAATATTCAGTATAGGAATATTTATGCACACCTTAAAATATGTTTTTTTCTTTACGCATTTATATTTGTAGGTGTTCTTGTGAAGTGTCTTGAAGTTATTTCTCAAATGATCTTCAGGTTTTAACCGAAGCGCATGTAACAATTACTGTATGTCTAGACTCAGTTTTGAATGCGTAGTAACACCTTCTAATAGCTTTTGAATATAATTGATAAATCTTCTATCTCCTGAGTACCCTTCTTTTGTTACATGATTTCACGTATGATAATATTTGGGACTTTACAAATGTTGTCCTTTAACCATTTCATTTCTCCCCAATCCCAGTAGAAGATCACGGCTATTTTCCCCTTTTCATCCAGTGATCGAAACCCATCATAGAAAGCATATCTGTATACTAATTATATCAAATTGACAGAGTACGTAAATTAGACGGACAGTTTTTAGTTTGATAAAACATGACCTTCAATTAAACTATTCATTAAAAGTAAAGTTTGAAAACTAGTTTTCATCAGATACTTACAGTATCCTCCTTTATTGTATGAAATAAAGTGGTGTCATTCACCTTCTCAACTTCAAAAAATTCCTTTAGGAATAATAACGAGACACTCTTGGAAGGAATTTGTGAATCCACAAATTAACGATATACGTAAGTGGATTTTCAGTTTCCAAAGTTGTTCAACTGGTCCAATGTAGCTTTTACTGTTTTTCAATAAAGAACGAGCACTAGGCGTGATTTCCATAATACGTGTAAGTTAACAAAAAAAGATAATTAAAACAGAAACAATAGTTTTCTAACTCCTCCTGCCTGCCTAGTTTTTCAAAAAAATGATTGAAACAGGGATGGGACTTTATTTGTCCATTAAAACATCACCTAGCAAAAAGAGAACTTTTAAAGGCTTTCGAAGAAATACCTACTTAAAGGACAAGTATTTGATTTGTCGAGTAGTAATTTCAGCGTGGAAGCAGAGAATATTGAAACATCTTTCTGCAAGGTAAACATAAACTGTTTCTGTGCTGTTTATGCCGTATATATGTAGTCTGACCTATTCAGTAAATGACACTAAAATGAAATTTGACCAGTAAAGTGAAGAATGGAAATGATACATAAGGATAATAGTCAAAAAGCTAAATAAAATATTGAATTGGCAAAACATAGATTTAAGCAGCAACGGGTACAACAGTAAATTGTAGAAAGAATCCAGCGTACTTACTGAAAATTTTGTACTAGGACTAGGTATAATATTGTTGAGGATTGTTATTGATGTGCGGAGTTTCCCATTGTTGAAATTGGGATCAAAGTGATCACAGCATGCTGACATATTGTTCATTTTATGAAGTCCTCGATATTGTGACTTACTTAGTCTTGATTGTTTTCACTAGGGATTAAATCTGGTATTCAGGATGTGCTTCATTCATAAATAAGAAGTACGTGGATCGTACTGAGTATTGGTCTTCACAATGATTGGTTAATCCACCAGCAGTCACTTCAAACTCCAGTATGCTCTCCGTCAGTCACTTTTTGTTTATCACTTATAACGAGGTATTAGGCATAGGAGTTTCTTCTTATTGGAAAGCAGAATAAAACTGATCTCTGCATTCTGGCCTATGAACTTCTCATACAAAGGCTTCTGTTCAGTCTTGATTATATTTCAATACTTTTAAACAACCATGAAAACTTTGGATAAGAAGTGACTATCAAATTCTGTAGCCCTGTGGAAATTGTTGTGATGCATGAACATGTAGATGCTGAGGTCGAGTTTGAATATGAACAACAAAAAACCAAGTATGTGAAGATAATGTGTCCTAAAGAAAACCGAATGAGTATAGTAAATTCCACTGCAAACCAACAATAGAAATTTCGCTCCATTTTCCTAGATATGCAATAAATATCCAAGGTTGAACTCGGCCGTTTTATGATGAAGGTTGGATGACTTAACTGTGGTTGAAGCATTTCGGAACTAATTTGTTAAAAAAAATTTTTATCAATCATTACGCAGCAGAGATCTTTAGGTTAGTTCGTATTTGGATGGGTACTAACAATCATCACTAGCATTCCCTTACGGCGATGCTTATTCTTTGATGATAATATTTTGAACCGACAACAAGGAATCCGTGTCTAATATAGGATCTGAGCTCAGTGGAGGAAACAAAGGAGGCAGCAGTATTGCTGAGAATAAACAGCTCTACTGTCTTTTAGTTGGTTACTGTTTTCCGCTTAATTTATGTTCATTAAAATTGCCTTTAAAGATATTGAGTTCCCAAGAACTAAGAACCTCACCTAGTTAACTAGTCCGTTAGTTACTAGCTGGTCCTAAGCATGGATAAAGAGGGAAGGGTGAGCATAGGGCTAGCAACTGTACCCCGTGACAGACCACAGTTCAAGTTCAACACCCAGAAACTGGACTGGGGGACGAAACTAAAAAAGATATCTCCACATCAGCCATCAGGACAAAATAGGAGATATTGAACAACATTCCCGTAGAAACCTGCTTCAAAGAACATTGGAACTCTTTGAAACAGACATGGAAGGAAACACATATAATCCTCTTAGAAAGGAAAAAGAAAGAAGACAGATCAGGGAATGGATCTCGACGGATACATAGAAGCTGACAGAGGAGGGAGAGGAAGATGATTATAGTGAGTCAAAAGATGAACCAGTGCAGTGCAGTGCAGGGATGAACAACGAAGAGTGGAAGTGAACACAACGTATAAAGCACCACACTGGACAAAGAAGTGAAGAGGAGTGCATGCAAAGACAAAAGACACTTCTACAACACACCGGCGAGTGAAGCAGAACAGGCTGCAGGTAGGAGAGATAGAGACCTGATAACACTATATCAAACAACCAGGTTACTATCTGGGAGGGAAGAGCTCAACGCAGATGAAAGCAATGAAAGATGATAGTGCAGGAAACTTAGTTATGAAGGAGGCGAAACAAATGAAACGATGATCTGACCACTTCAAAAATCTCCTGAGTCGACCACCACCACCTGCAACTCATCTAGGAATACCACCAAAAGCCCAGCTATAGAACTGTCGGTGAAGACAAGCCCTCCAATGAAAGCAGAAGTGAGGTTGTGGACGCCATAAAGTTTCTGAAATCCGAGAAAGCAGCAGGATCAGATGGAATTCCTCTGGAAGCGCTGAAAACAGACGCAGAGACAACAGCGGACATGCTCACACCACACCACTACTGCAGAAGATTTGGAAGGAAGGAAAGGCACCTGCTGATTGGGAGAAGGGCTACCTTGTTAAGCTTTCAAAGAAGGGCGACCTAACTCTTTACAAGGACTGGCACCCAACCAAAACATTCAGTCGCACCATCCTAGAGAGACAAAAACTTCTCTGGATTCAAAATTACGACCGGGACAGGCTGGCTGGCTGGCTGGCTGGCTTCAGGAAGTACAAATCATGTGTGGATCAAATTGTAACACAACGCTACACTACACATCATCATAGAACAGAGCATAGAATGACAGTCAACTCAACTCAACCTCAACTTCATCGTCTTTGAAGAAGCCTTCGACAGCGTCGACCGAGAAGTAATTTGAGAGACAACTGCTTCAACATTACGGTCTTAGTACCACAAACCTTTATCAACCTCATTCAACAGCAGCTATATGCCATATGACGAGGCGGCTACATGCCGAGTGATTCACAATGGAAAGCTGAGTGATGCCTTTGAAGTGAAGACAGGAAGGAGTAAGACAAGGTTGCCGCCTACTATCAGCATCGGTCTTCCTGATTGTGGTCGACTGGACTGGATGATGCAACAAACTGTGATGAGCTGTGAAAAGAGGGGTATACGCTTTTTGACCAATGAAAGGACCCTAGAAAATTTGTATTTCGCCGCCGATAATGATCTATGTCTAATGTCTTGTCGCACAAACTCGAAGACCTACAAACGAAAACTAACAAGTTGACAGAAGAGGCAGGGTAGTGAAGACGGGACTTCAAGTGAACGTAGAGAATACATGGGTGATGAAGATACCCAACAAACAACAACGAGCACCAATCACCATTAATGGGAGAAATCTAAAGGACGTCATCTCTTTCACCTACCTAGACCTAGGCAGTATCGTCTCAACTACAGGCGGCGGCACAGATGAGGACGTCAAAGCAGACGGGATCGGAAAATCAAAACAGGCCTTCATTAACCTGAAATCACTGTGGAGATATACTACATTGCACTCAGCATAAGGAACAAGATCCAGAGTTTGAACACAAATTCAGTCAAGTCAGTGCTTCAATATGATGGTTGAGAGACTTGGCGGGGTGTTACGAAAAGCATTTCCAACAAACTGCAGACATTCATTAACAACTACCACCTACGCTCCATACTGAAGATCAGATGGCCAGAAAGAATAAGCAACAAGGAACTGTGGCTGGCGACGAACCAACCAAGAAGCGATCACCCAACAAATATGCAGAAGGAAGTGGAGATGGATTGGATTGTGCATACACTGAGAAGACCGATTGGGAACATCACGCTGTAGGCCAGGTTATCGAGTGGAATCCAAATGGGAAAGGCCGAGTTGGGCGTTGGAGGTGAGGGTGACATGTAGGAGATGGTGTGAGGAAGAAATGAAAGCTTGTTGGCAGT